CATGTTTCTCGGTATGCACTCTTGTTTACCAGGAAGGAGATTCCTCTCTGAAATGGCTGTCACCCAAAACAGGTTTCTGCTTTTGTCTTATGGACCATAACCTGAGCATATGTTGTCTCTTCATGCCAGCAAAGAGGAAAGATGTTTTCATGACAGTCTTTGCTCACTTATGATTATGCACTAATAGTGGAAGGGTAGGCCTAACTTTTCAAATATGTTGTTACATTCCCCTATTGTCTTACACTCCCTCCCCAAAATAGGATTAATAATTTACAGAAAAAAATAACATCTACCTTCATTTTCAAAGCAAAAATCTGTCAAGGAAGAGCATACCCTCATTGTCCCAGAACCCTCACAAGAATCTCCCGTCTGCCTGCTCCACACTGCCAGGTAAGGCAAGCAAATTCAAACAGTAGAAGGAAAATAAGAATTCATATTTGTGTCTTTTAGATCACTCCCCTTTTAAACAAATTCAACTTTTGAGGTAAAAGTAAAAACTCAGTGTTCCTAACCTCTGAACATTTTTCACTCTCATGTAGTGAAAATGTGTATTTTCACAGATCAGGGGCCCACTTGAGTAGTCAGTAATTGTGTGCTGTGTTGTCTCCACCACAGCCCAGCACGTACTGCACTCAGCAATTGCTGGTTTCTATATTTTTTTCCTCCATTGCTATTGCTATTAGTGGTCCTGTTAGCTTGCATTTTCACTGGAAGTACTCAACATAATAAGTATTTCCGCATAGTATGAGAAAAAAAAAAATTGCAGTGAAAGTGTACATCAAAATCTGGGCATGGTAGCTCTCTGTTACTTTTCTCTCTGCTGAGACAAAATATCTAACACTCAAAATTAAGGAAGGAAAGGTTTATTTAGCTCACAGTGTGTGGAAGTTTCCGTCCATAAGCGGCTCGGCTCGCTCCAAGGCTGGGTGGTGTGTCACAGGAGCATCAGTTCAAGGTCGCCGAGGACAGCAAAAGCAGCAAGAGCACAGGGGAGGGGCCGGCCTCTTTTCCTCCCTTATATTACACCAGTTAGCCCCTCTAGGGGGGGGCACAGCACTCACACCACCTCCAAGCCCTCCTCTTGTGCAGGCTCAGGATGTTTACCAGTGAGGACCCTGGTCCCCTGCTGAGTCACTTAGTTAACCTTCTAAACCTCCCAAGTTGATATACAGTATATCAGCCATTATGGAGGCTCAGGTCTGAAATCCCAGCACTCTGAGAGATTGAGGCAGGAGAATTGCTAGTTCAAGCCTAGCCTGAAAAATTTAGGAACTTAGTGCGACCTAAGTCTCACAATTAAAATAAATAAATAAAAATAAATGTAACTGAAGGGCTGGAGGTTCAGCTGAGCGGTGTGAAGGCTCTGCAGTCAGTCTCCTGTACTGAATGTGCCCCCTTGGCTCCTTTGGCCAAAAGAATCAATGTTCACACCAATGCACTGTCTGTTGTGGAGGATGCCTTAGTCCCTTTCCCTCTGCTGAGACATGGTGGCTGGCACCCACGGCTTAAAGGAGGACAGGTTTACTGAGACTCGTGGATTCAGCAACCTCAGTCCATTGCTGGTTTCAAGGCAGAAAAAACCTTATGACGGAGGGCACGCTGCAGGAAAGGTGTCAGCTTGTGGCTGTGAGGAAGGAGAGAGACTGAGGAGCCAGAGACAGCGATGCACCCTCCTGATGCACACCAGCTCCACCTCCTAATAGCACATCAGGTAGGAACTCACCAGGGAATGAAGGCATGATGATGCAGCGTGTTGTGATCCAACCACCGTCCAGAACATCACCACTGAGCACATGAGACTCTGGGAGCCTATTTAGGTCAAACCATAACTGAGAGTCCAACCGTCCTCCTCAAACCTTATTGTTTTTAGAGCATGGCTGCAAGTTCATGGGTTTTGAGGAGATGATGGGATCCTGAGATTTCTAGGCTCATCACTGCATGCCGTTCAAGTGAGAGGGGCTTACTGGTAGGGTGGCCTGTGTTGGATGATCCAGGTCCCTGGGCATGTGGCTTTGAGAGGTGCATTTTGGCCCTGGTTTCTTTTTGGCGCTTTCTCTGTCTCCTCCACCAGTTGCTTCCACAGCCACGATCTTCTGCTTCATCATAGGAGCTGAGTAATGGAGTCAGCAGACTATGGGCTGAATCTCTGAAATCATAAGCCAAAGTAGAGCCTTCCTGCCTCAGGCAAGCCTTTAAGTGGGCTGGTATCTCATTTGCTACAGGGCGCCTCTCTCTTACGTTATCCCTGACAATCAGGCATTCATGATGAATGGCTCCCCCTAGCCCAGTAGGCACTTGAATTTGCTGATCTCTGTTTTGTGTGGATAAACCAAAATTCATACATGTATTCTTTTTCTTATTTGACAGAAATTTTTGTCTGGTCTCCAGAATTAATAATACACTCTTCTTTAATACAGCTACATTTCTGGCATGCTGCTTTAAAAAAATTTTGGCTGATCTTTTGCAATAATGTCTTTTCATAAATTGGGGAAGCGAAAGGTGGTA